AATGTTGCGCTTTATTCGATCGATCAATTGACTCGAAGTCCGAGCCATCCGCGGATCTGGATTTTCTCTCAGGAACTTCGTAACACGAGAAAGATCCTCCTTCGTGCTCATGTTCTCGCACACTAGAACAAGAAGCTTGCTACCTACTTCGAAATGCCGAGAATCGAATCTAGGTCATTCACGAGCTCACCGATGCCCATAGCCCCCGAACTGCGGAAGCGTTCCTGTATCTGCTTCCACCAAGTAGTCAACCATTCCCAAACCACATCGAGTCCTAATGAACGGTTATGCGTACAGCTTTCCACGACACACCGCCAATCTTGTGGCCGGACCTGAAATAAGGCGCATCCACCAAACCCCCCAACGCAGCTACTCACCACTCTCTTCGGCAGTAGTAGTGAGAGTATTTCGCGCTGTATCTAGCAGTATGGAATCATGACAAAACACTACGTACTAGGCGGCAATTATCCAAGCAATTAGGTTACATCAGCATCAGCGACTTCACCGATTATGGCCAAAGTCTTTTGCTGACGATCAATGCTAGCAGGATGTCGACTCTCATAGTGTTCCAAGAGTAGTCTGGCTCGAGCAATCCCCTTCTTAGGACATGCTACGGCACCCGCGTAGACCCAGCCGTGGATATCCTCAGGCACCTGAGGATATCAAACATCCCTCATAGAGATGAGCTTGAGAATTCTATACCGAGTCCGGGAGAGAATATCCCCCTTGTTCGAAAAGCTTAGAGCATGCCTCAATTGTTGCGGGATCTTGACAGTCCAGCATGATACGCAGTGAGCCAACCCTCAGACCCTGATCATCGATGATATGCCGTAGAGTATCCAACAGGGTCCTCACACGTCCTGCAATACTGTCCGTAACGTGTGACGAGAAGCTGTCAGACTTGAGGGCTGGGGTGATGTGGGAGAGCCCATAGATGTTGTGCAAAACGGCCTACCAGTATACGACCTGCAGAGGACAGAGCCGGCATCGAGGATGCGACATGAGGACCCATACAGATTTCCCGTACGCCTCTCGAAATCGTGATCTCGGA